TTAAAAAATACTTTTAATTAAGAAAATAATAAGGACAACAAAAAATAAAAAAAATAAAGATCATATTTGATATAAAATAAAATATCAATGGATAAAATCCAAAGACAAATTAATCTAATAATGGATTCAAGACCAAAAACACCATAATTAAAAAAAATAAGAACCAAATCTAATATAAAAACAAAATGTAAAGGGATGAAATTGAAAAACAATTAACTTAATGAATAATCCAAGATTGAATACATTATAATTAAAAGAAAGATAACCAAACATGATATAATAATAAAGTATGAATAATTAAAATTAAAAAAAAACTTAATAAATGATTCAATATCAAATATATTACCATTAAAAGAACGGTGATGTAATTTAATTTAAGAAATAAATAGCTAGACTTTCTTGTTTTTTTTTTTTTTTATAGTGGCCAATAGCTAGACTTTCTTGTTTTTTTTTTTTTATAGTGGCCAACATGGTTTTTCAAGAGAAGAGAATGGAAAGAGGGAGGGGGGGAAATAATTCCTTGCCGTAAATATTCTACACAATGTCGAAAAACATGTGTCTCGCCATAATAATATGAGTGGCGAGACACATCAAACATCGCCATAAAACAAAATATTTGGTATTGTGCAGGTTCTGTGCATGCTCTTGAAAAGCACAAGTTACATCAATTATATTCAAATTTTAATATTAATTTGCATATATTAAAATATCAAATCATCTTTTATCTCACTTGAAAATTATAAAAAAAAAGTAAGCAAAAAATTTAAAATAGCTTTGCATCCGTAGCAAAGCGAGTTTATTTTTCAATAATATTTAAGCAATTGATATGCACCAAAAAAAAACTTGAAAAGTTCCTAAACTAAAAATAACCTTTTCTAAGAATCATTTGATAACTATACTGTAGAAAAAACCATGAAATTACTTATTAACACCCTTCTTTAATATAATTACTAATCAGCTCTATAGAAAATACTTCTAAACCCAAACTCATCCACTAAAAATAGAATGTATAAGATAATGATAAGTTTTAGCTTTTTTTTAGGTAATTGTAATGCCCCATTTATGTGGTTATTCATGTGAATGCGAAATTTTTTTAGAATTTATTTGGTAATGTAATTGTTTTTTAAATAATTTTTTATATTAAATATATGTTAATAGTATTTTTTTGAAAAAGATTATTTTTAATATTAGTACATCAAAACAATCCAAAACATATAAAATATATTAAATTTTAATAAAAATTTAAAAAAATAATTTTTTTAAAAACATAATTTAAGCTGTATTTCCAAATAATACTTTAATCTAATTTAGAAATCATTAGATACATCTGAAATTGTTTTTTACTTTTCAAAGGTATCACGAAGCCCAAGCAGTCCCACTTTCTGTCCTCAAGGTCCACAACTAAATCCTCTGTTTTCTTTTGTAAGACAAACATTATATTTATCACCCTAGTCTAAGGATAGCTCTTTCTGAACAAATAGTATTACTTTATAATTTTTTTCATTGACTAATTTTGTTATTTAAAAAAAATAATATTTAGTTACTGAAATAAAAAAGGTAAAGACAACAAAAACATGTTGTCTTGTACCTTTTTTTATATTATATAAACGGACTCAAACTATTATTAAAATATATTTATTTTATGTTATTATCTGTCTTTTTAACCAAAAATATTTATATTTTTTATGCATTTATTATTATTATTATTATTATTATTATTATTATTATTATAAGACATTAACCAAACACAACTAATATTTGCATGCTACTCACAATCTCCAAAAGGAAGGAATGAAAGGGAAATCTCATTCAGTTGTTTTTCAAATATTAGGTCTAATTACTCTTTGTTTATATGTTTTTCTGGGATCACAAGAAATCTTTTTTATATTTTATTCTTTGGTGGGAATCACGTAAGGAGGATGTTGATGCTTAATGATTTTATTAATTATATTTAATAGACGGTCCATTTAAAAAATAAGATTTTCTTGATACTATAATTGATAAAAAAATACTTTGATGTATAATCGAGAAATCTAGAAATATGAAGTTTGCTTTTTTTTCCGTTTTACCTTAAAAGGAACATTAAAGTTATATCACAAATGACATAAGCCGATGATTTTGCAAAACACAGATCCCATGCAAATCACGAACATGGGCTTACCAGCCCAGCCCACAGGCCCTCCAATTAAACTTCACGATGTCGTATCACCGCAGCTTGCTTTATACAGCGTTTGAAATTAAAACACGTGTTAAATTGAATTTAACTCATAAATAAATTTGCAATCAATTAATAATCTATTATAGTTTTTATATTTGAAATAAAATATTATATAATTGAATTAAATCACAGTACTTAAAATACATAAAAAAATAAATTAAATTAGCAATCTTGACTATTTTACCCCTGATTTAGAAATAATTTTGATACAAAAAATATTTTTTTATTATAAAGACTCTTATATTGATTTAAAATAATATAAAATATAAGCATTTTAAAAAAGATACAGATAAACCAATCCCATGTTCATTGTTTATTAAATATTTGTTGAAGAAATTAAAAAAAAAAATATTAAAAAAATTGATCAAAATCTTTTCAATGTAATGTTGAGAAAAATAATTATAGAAATATTCCTGTAAAAGTTCTTGAGTCTTTCTCTAATCAAACTCAAATAAAATAAATATCAAACCAATACACATCACGTTGCCAACTAGATAAGTCAATGACTAACATAATTTTGACAATGTTAATAACTTAAAAGGATACCATGATATTAATAATTGAAAAGAATAATAACTTTTATAAAAGAATAAATAAATAAAATTAAAATAATAAAGATTAAATTGAAAACATAATACCATTATTTTGGATTGAATGATGAAATTAAGAACCAATAAAACTTTTATAAAAGAATAAAAATCAAACTTAAAAATATAATATTTTATAAATTAAGATTGAATGATGAAATTAAAAATAAATAAAATTTCTACAAATGAATCAAGAAAAAATAAGGTAAAAAAAAATAATTAAAGTTGAGATAACAATAGCAAAGAGGGATAACACAATGATTTTTAGAAAAAGAAAAAAAAAAAAGATCAACCTGTGATAAACTAAATCATTAGCACCGACATGTGCCTCTCCATGTAAAAAAAAAATAACGATGCTTTTAATGATACAGTAAAAGAATGTTTTTGGATGTTGGGAAGCGTTGACTGAATTGAGTTTACGCCTCTTGTATATCTTTTAATGTCATATATGTGTTTATTTTTTTATTGTTTTTTTATATACATTTATTCAAATACTAAATTTTTTCTTAAGTAACTTCTTATTAATAAAAAAAAACCATCATCAATAAAAGATGAAAAAGCCCTTTAACTCTAGTCTTAGAATTTTGACTTTTAAAAGTATTTTGTTCATTTTAATGTGATCTTTAATTTTTAATTAGTTATTTATATTTATTCAGATATCAAATTGGCTGTTAAATGATATTATAATAAAGAAATAGCCATTATGAAAATACAGAAAAGCATGCTGAGACTTTTTTTTCTTCTACTTCTAAGGTTATTTTTATGATTTTACTGTATAATTAAGATGATAAAAAACTTCTTTATCTCCAATTAAATTAATAATTACTAACAAATCATGTAAAAGGATCTTTGATGCCATTGATAAACAGTGATAAATCTCTTAGGTGGAGGGAAAAAACCCATGATTATATTATTCTAGCGAGAACAATATCTTTGAGTGCGTGGCTACAAGGTTTTTCCAAAGCAAATTAGGTCTTTTAATGGTGGAGAATCTGCCCACAAACAGAATTCGTTTAACATATGGGCCATAGCTGTAAGATCCACTAGCAGCAGTGTAAAGAAATGTTAAGAACACCTTTAATTTTTAACCATGTCCCGCGAGGCTCTGCACAAGAAAAAAGGAGGACCTGGAGGCTGGTTTCAAACTTTCAGTCCGCCAGCCCATAGTTAAGGGTTCTCTAGAATTTTTAAGTTCCAAAATTTCTTGTATAGTTGTGCAATCTTTTGTGCGGTGGAAACTAGTGGGAAAGAAGGGAGGTTTGGCATGGTTTTAGAACAAGGCAGAGAAGAAGTTAAAGAATCGAATCTACCTAGTGAAATAACTGGGCATCTAAAGGAAGTTGACATTTGCAATGAAAATAATTAATTTATGCTAAAGGAATGGATTCCTAAACGTTCAAAGCTGTAAAATTCAGCAGCAAAAGATTGTCCTTATTTGCTGCAGCTAATAACATCTTGTTCCTGTCCACAATCCCAATTTCACAGGTTCTCATATTCCTGTTGTTATAAAGTTATTTAATCCTACTGAAGGAAAGTTTTTTTTTTTCATTATTTTTTATATTTATATATTAAAGATGTAAAAGCATAACTTTTTTTTATAAAACATGATTTGAAATGCAATTTCAAACAACCCTAAAGTCTGTCCAGTGCTGGACAGAAAGCAGTTTACGTGCAATCTGCATGAGAACTTTCTACTCTTGGCATTTGGAACACAAGAAAATAGGTTTCTTTCTCTGGAAAAAGTCGTATGATTTGCCAAAACATGAATAGAATGATCCTAACTTTTGTTTGGCACATTTTCTCCGCAAAATAAATTGTATGAATGCTTCAAAAAAGAACATCGGACAATACTCCTGGAACCAACTGTGTGGATAGGATAGCATGAATGCTTCAAAAAAGAACATCGGACAATGGCTACTCCAAGTAGCAGCAAGAATTCCACCACCACCATCCTTAGGTTAGGCAAACGAACAGTGGTGGTTATTAGAAAAAAAGAAGAAGACCATGGCTACTTAGTAAAAACAATTCAAAACGTATTGTGGCCAAAGAGGAAGATATTTAATTCTCCAATTCAATTGCAGTTTACATGATGGTAAACTATGCAATCTCTGTATAGCATGAGTTTCTAAGATCCTGGTGCCAATTAAGATTAGTCATGATGCGAGGATATATAGAAGAAGAAAAATTTAAACACCGAATCCAAATCCATCCTGTCAACTCTCTAATAGACCGAATGATCTTCAAACATTATTTTGAAGGGTTTCTTCTTATCTGTGCGCTTGATTTCTTGATAGATTCTATCCTTTGAAGCCTGATCTGCTCTCTGAATTTGGCTATGAATTCATCAGCCTTCTTGTCAACATCAGGTCCTCCATCACTTGCAATGCTAGCAGCTGCTGCATCGTTTTCTGGACTCGCCGCTGTGCTTGAAGCAAAAGAACTTCCTGCAATGTTTTCTTCCTCTGGAAACTCCATGAAAGTTGGCTGAGGCGTAAAACTTACGCTTTCAAGGTTCTGCCTCTCAGTCTGGAATGATGATTGATCAAATCCCACCTTCTTTCTTCCTGTTCTCTCCTTTCCTCTTGCTTCAACTTCCTTCGATCTTTTCTCTTCTTTGCTGTTGATTCTGTCATGAAATTCTTTCTCCCTCCTCGCCTCACCAAACAAATCGTTGCTTCTAATTGTCCTAACTGACTTCAGCATTGGTAATTTGCCACCCCTATTCAAGTCTTTTGGTTCAGTAGTGAAACTTCGCTTCAGTTCTCTTTCAAGCAAAACCTCATCATGAACAGCACTGGAAATCGGTTTCATTGATGATGATTCTCGATTCACTGGTGGTGTAGGCGGTGGTGGAGGGGGAGGAGACCTATAAATGCTTTTCTTCCTCACAAAATCCTCCACACTTTTGCCGAGCACCTCAGATGAGAAAGAAGGTGAAGGAGAAAACTTCTTCGGTGAAGAAAATGAAGGTGAAGGGGACAGTTTCGGTGAAGAAGTTGCAGAACTGGTTCGTGCTGATCGAGGAACTTGGGAATTAAAAGACCTGTTGTATTCAAATTCCTCCGAGAAAGGAGGCAGATTATAAGGAGGAATATCTGCTTCTTCTTTCATTTCCATTCTTCCTGATCTTGATCTCCATGGAATTGGTGAAGGAAGCACAAAATTCTCCTTCAGCTTCTCTTCCAATTCCTGACAATTCGAGCCTCCAAACTCTCCACTTTTATTTTTACTCGAATTGCTTGAAAATATTTTAGAACCTGAATCAGAATTAGACCTATTAATAGAAGCAGATCCACCAGCATATTCTTTACCAGTTTCATCAACATCTGCGTCTATGAGTCGCGATTTTAGGCTCCTAACAGGCAACAAGAGTGGCTTTTCACCAATTCTCGAACTAGGAGCTCTCTGTTCTTTATCAAGAGCAGAGTTCTGCTCAGCTACAACTACCACAGGATCATTCCTATAATATTGGTTGCTCCACGTCTGGACCTTGGTCTCTTCAGACTCAGGTGGGCTATCAACCTCATCATCAAAAACCGATGAAACCTGAAGGAATGCAGACACATATGATTGAGCATTATCAAATCTTGAGGGGTTGTTGTTGTTAATTTTCGTTTCCGTTTCGTCATTTCGTTTGCTAAACAGACCATAAGAGACAGCTATACCAACAAAGACAAGGTGGAGAAACTCCCAACCTCTACTGTTTAGAGTTTGGATGAGGAATTCAGGCGCTTGTGAAGGAAAAAGTAGGAGTATAATTAAAAAGATTGTGACTATGAGAGCTTTGTAGAGGAAATTAGTATAGTACTTAGATGGATTTGCTTGCTTTAGCTGTTGGTATTTCGTGTGGTAGTTTTCATCTGCCATTGAAGAAGAGAAAGAGAGAGAGAGATAGGATCTTTTGGTGATTGTTTGTTGGTATTAATTGGAAGAGAAGACGTAGAGGAGGGAGGAGGAGGAGGAGGAAGAAGAAGGGAAGCCTTAGGGGTGAAGGAAAAGTGAAGGACAAAGAATAAAAGAAAAGAAAAGCAAGAGATGGAGAGAGACAGTGGGGAGAGGAAAGGTTTGGGGAAGAGCGAGCAAATTTCAAGCTTTTTCGTTGGATTGCTTTTAACGGTTCTTTGCAAATGCTATAGCAAATATGGCAATGACTCTTGCTGTTTTTTTGTCTCGATCATATTTTTATTTCAAGGGGCTAGCATTTTGTTGGCTCATCAGTGTGCCTCTGATGCTCTACTTTTCCCACTTTTTATCCTTTGCTTTTCCGGGGAAAGTAGCTTATCCCTCCCGGATTGAGTTGAAATATTGAATGGCCTTAGACTAATGTGGGTTAAATGCCTTGGAGGCCTCGAGTAGGGACCGGAGCCAATCTTATTCTGATGGATAGATAGATGGAGGAGGGAATGTTAGGTCTGTGCAGGCAGGTGTTCTACAAACATTAACTAACTCATATTGGATCTACCATGGAAGAGTACTATCAGTTGGAGCTTTTTTCAAATCATTGAAGCTAAGAAATTCCATATCAGAAACCTCAACAACTCCCTAACAATGCTTCAGGTCAACACAGCATTATGGTAAATTCAGGCACTAAAACTTGGTGAATGGATGGAGAGGAGGCGTGTCATTGCGAAAATGTTGCTATACACATACAGGCACCCAGCAAGATTTCTCTGGATTTCTAACAAAAATCAACCCATCCACCACATATTTGGATGCGTCGTAAGGCGAAATGATGGGCAGCCTGCTTCTTTGAGAAAGACAAATGGACTGGTAACAGTACAAGGAATGGAAGACCTGTTATATGTCCAAACAAGGGCATAAAACCAAATGGAGTTGAAGGACCGACCGCCCGCAACCTTAAAACAAGTAAAGAGACAAGGATTTGCTCGATCTTAATGACTTTTAGACTCCTCCACATTCACACGCCCCCTTTCTTCAGACTGTATAGCACTAGCGTGGATTGGAGATGGCAGGAAAGTATGGAAAGGAGATCCTCCGCTAATGGATGTGCAAGAATGCTTTGGACAGTACATATCTTTGAGTTTCATCATCATGATCGATAAATCGGGATCGTTTAGTATCATTTATATTTTATATTTGAAAACAAAAACAAAAAATAGACTTTTTTATGTATACATACAAATGATTTCATAATTTTCTAAAGCTTTTTACCCTTTTGAAATCTTTTTGGTTCTGAGTAGTTAAAAACCGAGAATTGATAGCAAGTTACCTCTAGATTACTCCCCATGTGAAGAGTGCTTAAAATATTTTGGCAACCTCTACATGGCAGTTCTGTTTTGTTTTGTTTTCCGGTTCTTGGACGTAATTTGAAGAGACAGAAAAGGAGCAGCTTATTAACACATGGAAAAGATCCAGAATATACTAGAGATTTGTAATGGAAAATTGCAGAAACCTCGTATGCGAAAAGAATCTTTAATGGGGATAATAATGTGAGGGGCAAATGGGTTGCGTGGATGGGGTTTGGATCCTTCTTATGGGGTGCGTACGCTAGCTTTTCTGTGGAGGTCATAAAATACTTTGCAAAAAATGGGAAAAAAAGAAGATTGTTCTTAGCAATTTCAGATGGAATACTTTTCTTACCTCACCATCACCATCCTCAGTTTGAAGACGATGTTCCTGGAGTTAAAAAATCAATTTAATTTAAATATTTAGATGTGATTTAAATATATAATTTATATTATTTTTTTAATGATTTTTTTAAAGTAATTTTTTTTTAAAATTAAAAATTTGATTAAACTCATATTTTTAATTTTTATTAAATAAATAAAAATAATAAGATTTTGACTTTAGTTATTAAGATATTAATACCATATTATTATACTATTTTAAAATAACACATACTTTTGGTAAAATAACCATTTTGTCCGTCAAAAGAAAAAAGAAAAAGAGAAGTGAAAGAAGAAGAAACTAGGCATTTCTGCATCAACTGCAATTAGCATGTAATTGATGGATTGGAACAGTCCAATTAAAAAACTCATGAACTGACGTGGACAAAATCTAAAACAGTTCGAATTTATATGACCTTTTTTTAAAGGCTTGTGCCGTGACATAAGAAGGTATTTGCTTTCTGACAAGGCAATAGCTTTCACTCACCATGCATAATTTAATTTAATTTAATTTATTTATTGCGCAATCTTTTTAAAATAAGACTACTGTGCTGGGAAATCCTATGATTTATCTTGGAAATAGGTAACAAACCCCATATTTTATTTTCTTTTTCTTTTTCCAGCAAGAACTGCCCAGGAATCTCTCCACATTAAACAAACTTTAAGAAAGTACATCCGTGTCATCCTCTACAAGTAACAATATCGTGAGTTTTTTTTTTAAATAATTTTTTTTAAATATATATTTTTATTAAAACTGTTACACAATGAATATAGTATAAAAATTTAAACTATTAAATAAAATTTTAAAATATAATTTATATTGTTTTTTAATATATTTCTTTAAGTAAAAACTCTTTAAACTTAAAATTTACACAAATTTACATTATATTTTACTTATTTTTTATTAAATAAATAAAAATAATGAGATTTAAATTTATAATCTTTGCTACTATATCAAACAACTATCTCAACTCAATAATTTAAATTATTAAATAAAATTTTAAAATATTGTTTATATTATTTTCTAATAATATATATATATAACAAAAAATGATTTCACTAATTAAACATGGTCGTAACCCATGGCCGTGCTAAAAATATTTCCCAATATATTATATTTGATATGCATTATATTCAAATTACAACAAAGAATATTAGTCTTTAAATAAAAAAGGCTCCTAAAAATACTTTGTTTTATCCGATCATGGATCAACTAAAATCAAGAAATTTCTATTTATTAATTTAAAAGCCAAATACAATGTTTTCATACCACAATATAGTACTAATGGTGTAACATTTTTTTTTATATTTACCTTCTAAGGAGTTCTTTTTATATAGATGATTACTTAGCAAAAATCTTCCATGATAATTTGAAAAAAATAGTTTTATTATCGTTCATTAAGATGAAGATCTTTTTTTTCATGCAGTATAGATAAGCTAACTTTCCGTTCTATTTTGATATTATTTTATATACAGAAAAAATTATTTATAATTCATATCATAATTTTTTTTATTTTAACATTCTGTTTCATAGAAATATTATATGTCAAAATATTGAATAATCATAATTGTTTCAATTTATTAATTTATAGTTAAAAATAAATATTTATATTCCAACCTGGACTATAAATACCAATATAAATGCAAATGAAAATATGAATTTTGGCTTCACAAATATTTTTAAGAGCAAGTTAAAAATTATTAGTATAATTAATTAACAAAAATAAAACGCAACAAAAGACTCAAATAAATTGAATCCATACTTGCACAAATCAAGTTGCATGTTTTATCGTTTCATTAAATATACAAGCAGACCACACTACAAATACTATAAAAATATTAATACATTAACTTAAAACAAAAATAAATAGGTTTATTTACTTAATGTAGAGAATATTTAGAAAAAAAAAATAACAAGATAATAATGTTGACACTACATGATGTTGGTTGGTTAAATTTACTATAATAAGACCTAGATTTGCGGCAAATTAAGAGGAGGTGTGCAGTTAAAGAAAAAGAAAAAAAAGAATAAAAAGAAGATGGGGAGGATGGGATTGATGTTGGTTATAATACTTTGAATTGTTTTGATGGAATATAGCGACTGAACATTACTTTTAATAAGTCCATCAGCAAATTATGATGTGTTACATTACCGAATATTTCTTGTTTTTTTAATTATTCTTATTATGTCAGTAATTACTGAAGAAAAATATTTTTTTAATAATTACATTGGAAATTTCTAACAAATATATTCTGTTGCTATTTAATAGTTTTTTAAACGATAGTGGTACACCCAATATGAAAAAAATAACATTGTTATTTTGACACCTCTGCCACTGAAGTCTGGTAAATAGTCTCAATCTTCTAATATGTAATTTAATATTTAATTAAGAAATAAAGAGAATATTAAGAGAAAATGATGAATTTTAGAGAAATAAAGATTAAACGAAGGACATTGTTGTTGATTGAGTGAAAGAAAGGGCAAAAAAGAAAGGAAATATAATAAAAGCTGCATCACTTAAAGAAAGAAAAAAAAGCTACGATAATTTAAAATGTTTTAAACTTATAGTATTTTTGTTTTTCTTTTATTGTACATTAAAATGTTCGAAATTAAATTCTTCACCCACTTAGCAACATAATAACAAAGATATAATTTAGGTGTAATTACTTTGTGAATAATATTTGAAAGTTAAGTTAAATTGCGATTTTATTTTTTGTCTTGGTCATGCATCATTTATTAACTTTTAAAATAATTATTATTGAAAATGATATATAAATAATAATATATTTTTATATGAAATTTACCACAAAATCTTTATTACGGTTTGTTTTATTAAATTAATTATACAATTAATGTTTTTTTTTAAATGATTCATATTAGCGTGACTGTTATTTTAACCGTTAAAGTTCTTATTCCACAACCACGTTTTGTTACTGTTGTTGTGACCACAACCGCAATTCAAACTATAGATGAAAGAGATACAAATTAAGTGAACAATTTATATTAGAATATTTAGATTTTATATTTTAAAATTATTTTTTAAAATTTAAATGTTTTTATTTTTAAAATAATATATTTTTATTAATTTTAAATTATTTTAATATACTAATATTAAAAATAATTTTAAAAAAATAAAAAATTATTAATATATATTTTTACAACAAAAACTATTTAAAAATTAATAAGCTAAAAGTAGTGGAGGAAATTTATGGTTCATCCATATCTGATATACAATAAATTACAATAGTAATCTAATGAATTTTTTTTTCTCTCTTTCTCTTTTTTTATTTTTTTCATCTTTTTTTTTCAGTTTTTTGTTTTTTTCCCAACCTTTTCCTTTCCCCTTTTTTGTTTTTTTTTCTCTTTTCTCAAAAGTACTTTTCTTTTTTTTCTCAATTTTTCTCTTTTTTTTTCATTTTTTTTAAAAATTATCTTTGTCAATTTTTTTTTAATATTGAGCTGGTTAAAAATTTCACTTTGTAAGTTTTTTTTTTTAAATACTGTGGATTGCTATGGTGTTTTTTCATATGGTTTTTCTATTTTTTTTTTATTTTTTAAAATTATATTTGTTGATTTTATTTTTTTTAATATTGAATTGATTGAAATTTTAATTTTATAATTTTTTCTTTAAAATATTGTTCATTGCCACAGTGTTTTTTTATTTGTTTTTTCTGTTTTTATTTTTGGATGATTTTCTTGAAATTTTTTTTAAAATTTTTTTTATTTGTTTTTTCTGTTTTTATTTTGGATGATTTTCTTGAAATTGTTTTTTTAATTGTTTTTCATAATGAATTGGTTAAAAATTACAGTTATAGTATGTGAAAAAAAACTGTAACTTTCATTGCAAATTATTGTGATTTGCTATAGTGTTTTTTCCTACATGGTTTTTTTCTAGTTTATTTTTTTTGTATACATGATTTTTTTCTAGTTTATTTTTTTTTGTAATATTTTTTTAAATTATTTTTATTAATTTTATTTAATACAAGGCTAGTTAGAATTTAACTTTGTCATGAATCTTAATGATGTGAGGAAAGCATTGTAGCTTTCCTTGTAAAATACTATGGATTGCTAGAGTGTTTCTCAATATGATTTTTTTTTTTAAATTATCTTTATCAATTTTATTTTCTTAATATTGAACTGGTTAATAATTACAATTATAAATAATATTAAATTATATGGGGAAGTATTGTAACTTTCATCACAAAACATTGCGAATTGCTACAGTATTTTCAATATAGTTTTTTTTTTCTAATTTTTTTGTTATTTTTTTCTAAAATTATCTCTATTGATTTTTTTATATTGAATTTAGCTTTGTAATTTTTTTAAAAAAACACTGTGAATTATTCCAGTGTTTTTTCATATGATTTTTTTTAAAAAAATTATCTTTGTTGATTTTTTTTGAATATTGAATTAATAAAGAATTATAATTACAATAAAGTTAAATTATATAGGAAAAGTATTGTAACTTTTCTCATAAAACACTATGAATTACTATATATTTCTCCAAATAGTTTTTTTTTATGGTTTTTTTGAAATTCTCTTTATCAATTTTATTGGAGAAAGTATTGTAGTTTTCCTTACAAAATATTGTCAATTGCTACAGTGTTTTTCTTTATGGGTTTTTTTACTTCCAATATTATTTTTGTTGATTTTTTTTAATATTAAGTTGGTAGAGAATTTAACCTTATAATATTTTTTTGCTTTTTATTAATAGAAAAGTTAAATAATGCAACGAAAGCACCATATCTTTCATTACAAAATAATATAAATTGCTATAAATCATTTCATTTAGTCTTTAAGTGTTTGATCACCAACACAGTTTTTTTTTTTATCATGAAATATTGATTCTATCATACTTTTAATTTTCTTGATTTATTTAGAACTGTTTTAAAATTATAATACTATTATTAAATATATGTATTTAATAAACTCAAAGAAACACACAGTCATGGAGTTATTATTATTTGATCTCAACAAAACATAAAAAAACCCTAAAAGAAAAAGGAAGAAAATCTCTGTCCTGCTGGGGTTTCAAAATTGACCTGATAAACGTTTCATGAATTCCTTGGATCCTGTTTTTTTAATTGCATCGGATTTCGTTTTTTCAGTAGCCATGGTGGCCATCTTCCTTCTTCTCTATTCTGGCATTATACAAAACCATAAATTATTGAAGATTTTGTCAGTGGAGATATATATAAGCTCGCAAAAACGATTTCATGAATATTTTTCACCATTACAATTGCATTATAATATGCATTTTGATGTGGGCTGGTAGATTTATATGCTGCTGCTTATTGCGTATCATCTGGTAAAAATATTAGTATTGCTGTACAAAAAGACGTTCAGTTATTGTTATACAAAAATCTATAGGGCGACTGTAATACTAGAAATTAATTATTATGTATTTATACTATCGATCATTATATTCTTATAAAAAATTGAATGAATAAGATTTCCACTGATGTCTATATATATTTAATATTTAATATTTATCTCACATTTATTAAAAATGACTCTTTAACACAAAAATATTTATAAAACTTATAATGATATTATAATCATGTAGTATTTGTGTTATATATAGATAGATGGTTTTATTTAATTTTTAATGCTACATAGTACTTTATTGATTTTTCTGACCTTTTTTCTTAGAATCAAGTTTAACATTCTTACAAAACGTTAATTATTAATACAAATGCAAAGCATGCATTAAAAATACTAGTTTCAAAATGAAATCTTAACTTAATTATATTTATGTGTGTAAATTAAAAAATATTATGATGATAGTTTTTCTTGTAATTTGAAAGAAAACAAAGGATGTCTATGATGAAAATAAAAAGGGAAGTGAGAAAAAATATATGGACGGCGTGTCGTTTGCAAAAATTTGCGATTTCCAGGTCGTCTTCAATTACTTTTTAACGACCGTTTATAAAATTTGTGTGTGTATTTTTTTATAAAATATATTAAAGTCATAAAAAAAACTTTCAGAAGTATATTTCTAACTTAAAAATACATGTTAATTCTCTTTTAAACAACAAATCGGGCAACCCATTTTCCATATTTCTATATTGGAGGCACTATCTAATTTTTATGGTCTCCTTGCTAATAATGTTTTTGGTTAAATCGACACAATCCACAAGCAATTTATTAATATTATATGGGCTTATTAAAGGATTGAACGTGATAATGTAGGAGTTGAAGGACCAAAATAAAACATTAACTAAAACACCGTCGTTTTACTCGTCGATATGCCAAAAAACGAAGGTGTTTTGGGTAATTCAATGTCCTTTTCGTGAACACTGAAAAAATACTCTATTTTAGTTTTATTAAATTACAATTTCTAAAACAATGAGGATTTATTATAATTTCGGTCAATTAAAAAAATAAAATATTTAGAAATATAATAAAAATTATTTTTTTAAAGTATTTTTTAATATATTAAAAAAAATATTTTTTATTTTTTTAAATTTATTTTTAATATGAATACACATACAATAACACTAAAATAATTAACTTCAAGTAAAAAAATTATTGGCAAAAAAAAAGTTTCATTACATGTGTATATATTCTTTTTTCTAACACCAATTTTCCTTTTCAAACAATAAATTTAATTAATCTTTAAATTCCAGAGCTTCCTGTTCAATAGATTTTATTAATGCATTTGAATGAATAGTGGATGGAAGGATAGAATTGCTAGCCATAGGTTCTAAGATATACAGCCTCTCGATCGGACACTTTCCAGTTCGTGGCTTCGTGACTCGGAGTTGGATTCATCTCTCTCTTCTCCCTCACTAAACCCTAACTCCCAGGTACCCACATTTCTTCCATTCTTTTCTAGCTGTTAAATCTCTGGCAATCATTTTTTTTTATCATTTAAAACCATCGCTATAAACCAATGTCACTTTTTTCTTTAACTCGCCATTTATCCTTCTCAATCAAGCCCAAAACCCCCAAAATCTCAACTTTACACTACGCTACCACTTCCCTGGGAGAGAAACTTGATGCCCATCTGCAAAACAGTCCTAACAACGTAGAGAAAACCCTCAATTCACTCGCACCAATTAAACTTGACACCAAATATGTCAACGACATCATACACAAATGGTCCCTTAATAACCTTCAATTGGGTCTTAGGTTTTTTATCTGGGCTGGTGATCAACCAAATTACAGGCATAATTTATATATCTATAATAAAGCATGTAGCTTGTTTAAGATTAAGCAAAACCCGCAAGTTATTTTGGATTTAATTGAGACTTATAAGCTGGAGAAGTGTGTGGTTTGTGTTGACACTTTTAAGGTTGTTTTGAGGCTGTGCAAAGCGGGTGGGCTCGCTGATGAGGCTTTAATGGTGTTAAAGAAAATGCCTGAATTTAATATACGTCCAGATACAACTGCCTATAATCTTGTTATTAGGTCGCTTTGTGAGAAGGGTGATGTGGATATGGCTAAAAAATTGATGGGAGAGATGGGTTTGATTGATCTTTATCCCGATATGATAACATATGTCTCGATGATTAAAGGGTTTTGTGATGTGGGTAGATTGGAGGAGGCTTGTGCGTTGTTCCCAGTAATGAGTGTGCATGGCTGTTATCCTAATGTAGTGGCATATTCGGCACTTCTTGATGGGATTTCTAGGTTTGGGATTGTTGAGAGGGCATTTGAGTTGTTGGCAGAGATGGAGAAGCAAGGTGGGGGATGTCGTCCAAATGTTATCACGTACACATCTGTGATTCAGAGTTTTTGTGAGCAAGGTAGAACAAAGGATGCACTGTCAGTTTTGGAATTAATGGAGGTTCGTGGGTGTGCTCCAAATCGTGTCACTGCTAGTGCTTGGATAAGTGGTATTTGTATGAATGGCGAGCTACAGGATGTGTATAATTTTATCGAGAGAATTGTTGCGAGAGGTAGTGTTTCGATTGGTGACTGCTATAGTTCTCTTGTGGTGTGTTTGATAAAGATTAAGAAAGTGGAGGAAGCAGAGAAGACCTTTAGGAGGGCTTTATCTAGTGGGATGAAGCCTGATAGTTTGGCATGCAGTATGATGATTAGGGAGATTTGTTTGGAGAAACGAGTGCTTGTTGGGTTTTGTTTATATGAAGAAGTTGAGAAAACAGGATGCTTGTCTTCCATTGACATCGATATATATTCTATTCTTTTAGCTGGGCTTTGTCAACAAGGCCATTCAGCAGAAGCTGCAAGGCTTGCAAGATCGATGCTTGAAAAAAGAATTCCTCTCAGAGCTCCTTATGTTGAAAAAATAGTTGAACACCTGGAGAATTTTCGAGGGAAGGAGCTTGTGGCTGAATTAATTAGCATGGTAAAGTGATGCTGAACTAAAGACAGTTTATTAATGTTAGGCGGTTGTTTCTTATTTTAGAGCAGGATTATCAATACACAGTAAGGTTCTAGTTCAGAGGGATCATGCATGGAAAAAGAGTTCATTAAAAGGAAACATAGATCACACATCTTGTCTGGCTCCTGGTAATTGTGGAATCTTAGAAGTTAATGCTAGCTATCATCAACAGCTGTTATCATGAACTGAAGTGCAAAGCAAACCAGGTTCTGAAGATGGAGTACTGTGAGGCAGCCACTGGCTGTTGTTTGCAGAATAATTCCAGCAGGTATGTATCAGAGGTTGAAAAATGATTCAATCACCCTCCTAGGCCCCTGTTTCATTTATTTGCATTCGAGGCTACAATGCATTAGTTATTCCCCTAGAACTAGGCAGACCATTGCTTTTTTACCGAGTGCCCAGTTATTCCTGAACATGCTACAATGTGGATTAGTAATAAAACATCTAAAGAAATTTTGTCACTCTTGAATGTCTTCGGTAATCATATATGGTCTCTCCTTAATCTAAGAATGACTGATAAAATTTCTGAGACCTTATTTGGCGGGAACATATATCCCTAAAGCTAGCAGTAACTACTTGAGAATCACCTTTATGCCGACAATGACCTAATTTTGCAAGTTCATCAACTAAATTTACTGATACCTTAATGAATCAAACCATTGGAATTGCATGATAATCCCCATTTCAGTTTTTTTTTTCTTTTTTCCCACGGGATTTCTAGCAGCCTCTAAGTTCCTTGCTCAGTACATTTTATACCTACCGGCTTACATCAGTTTATAAAGTGCCATCACAAAATAGAATGATAACTGATTCTAACATCGGCATGAATCATGATAGCAGTATTCGGATTTTCATTTATATGATCTGTAAGTCCATCTCCCTCCCTGTGAAATCAAGAGACATGAGCAAAACAAGGACATTCTAATCATCACCTTCTGAAGTACATAAGATAAAATAGATGTTTATTTAATAGGCATTAAGGTTTTTTTTTTCATTTTAAATTCTGCTTTCCTAGATTATGATTTAATGGTAAAATAGCCCTACACTGGAGACCTGCTCAAAGAATGTGGTTGCCTTGGCCATTTCTCTGCCAGTTGCTAGGATGAAGGCATTGAGGCTGCTGTAGAGTAGTAGGAGCTCCCATGAATGTTTGCGCTCAATTTTATCATAAAAAGTGATAAAACAAAAGGATAGAAGAATGTTGGTAGATTAAGTAGTTAGGTAGAAAGCTCAAAGTTCTTCAATCTAATAAGAGGCCATATCATAGTTAGGTAGCTACAAGAATTGTAAGCTTTTAACTCTGAAATATCATTGTTCACTTGACTTTCTGCTTTGTCAGATTTTTTATTTCTTTTTTCCTTCATGATATTTATCTGTTAAATGTGTGCGATCCATGAAACAACTGTAGGGGCAATTTTCATGAGACGGACTTCAGTGCATCTGAATATCCATTTGAGAACTGAGAGCGCTCTGGAAATTTTTTTCCCAAGACGCAGATATCACAAGGGCCTCTCATCCATTTTTTTTTTATCCTGACGCCTATCAATTTTCTTTTTTATGACTTGTGCATTACATCACCATTTACAAAAAATAAAAATAAAAATTTGGGTGGTTGGCTCGTGTAATGCATTTCAGTAGGTGAGCAAATCATAGATTTTAGGTGGAGCGTGACTCGCCACAACCTGTACTGATGGTTTTTCTTGGTATTTATATATTTGTCCAATTGAGATACACACACACACACACACATATATATTATGATATCAGAGGTGTTATTATAAGAAATTTGGTGTATTTCCAGCTTTTCATTCTTTTCTATTTTATTTCTGCTACTTGATTATTGTATCAGTTTATTTCCCTTTTTATATTCTTCTTTGGAGTTTTATTTAGTCCTTGAAATTCTACATAATCTTAATTTTATTATTATGATCATTTCATTAATTGAATTTATTTTTATTTAAGATGGGCGAAAGATAACAGTTTTTTTGGGTAAAAAATATTTTTTTATTCAAATAATAATAATAAAACTAAAGTTAAAGGGAATAATTTTTCTTGGCGTGTGAGAACTCCATACATGTAAGTTTAGAAAAAAAAACGCTCAATCCTGAGTTCGGGACCACTTCGTTAGTTTTTAACTGATGGATCCTTGTGAAATTCCTCATGGTCACCTCGATGCCCAGCCCCCCTTGGTTTTTTGGTTTTGCACTAATGGTATTTTTTGATGCCTCATGATAGAAGATGTAGGGAAACCTGACCGCCTACTTCTTGTCTTTTTGAATGCTAACTATACGGTTCCTGTATGATTGCATCATGCCAGATTTTATTTTATTCAAGCTTCTTTCGTTCACATGAACATGCAATCCTTTCCATTGCTGTTCACGGTGCGAGCTCTGTGTGTTTCTGTAGTTTGTTGACTATATTTTACGAGGGTGTTTGGATTGAATGGCATGTTACAGTTGTTCATCAGTTTTTCCCAACTGATGCTTTGAATTTGCTGTTTCAATTCTTGTGCAGATCACAGACGTTTATTATGTTCGAATTGATTACGACAAATAAGAATGGCAGTGAAAGATATAACAATAGCAATATCCTTTGCCATTTTGCTCTCGGCAGTCATCCTACATTTTGCCATGACTTGGATGGATTTTCATTTTGTATTTGAGTGCTGATGTGATAAGCGCCTCAATTATGTTCTTAATCTTCTGTCGGCTTTTGTTTATTTGGTGCACGTCAGATCTTGTTCATCATTGAGTTTGAATGATAATAAGAAAGATCTGATGAACCTGTGGTGCTCTCCTCTGATGGATTCTGCCAAAGCAATTTTCCCAGCAACAAAAATATATAATTAAGCAAATGCTTAGGGAGCAGTGAGGAGTTATGAGTTAGAACAGTGCTGGTCACCGAATTTCTGTACCGCGTTTGGAGTTTTAACCTCCACTGGAAGCAAAACTGTGTAGTTGGGGTCGATTCTATATTTTTTTAATAAAATTAAAATAATATTATTTTGATCAAAACAATTTATTTTCTAAAAAGAAATTAAGAGATTGAGGATTGAGTTTTTACCAGTTCAGTAAGTTTTTGACCAAGTAAGTTAATTTTTTTTTCTATTTTTTTTTAACCTTGATTGTTTCAGATGTTGAATCGTCCGGATACCGGGAAGACCTGCCTGACCGTCAAGGTTTGACAACCATGCAAGATGGCAAAGGATGCTGTTATCCGTTTATCTTTCAGTGACGTTCTTCCTCGTCACAATCAACTTGAACCTAATAAAATATTGGTAATTTGCTCGAGAATTGAAACAACAAATTCAACAATTTAGTTCCTGTAACTGAATGACGTAAACGACAGATGCATTTAACTTATTTTTAGGCAGCAAGAAAGGTGAAGTAAACAATGACCTGAGTAGCAGTGTCCTACGTTGGGGAGGAGGTTTTTATTTTATTTTATTTTGACTCTAACATGGTTATAAAAAAATTAAAAAAATAATATAGTACAAAAAAGATTTAAAAATAATAATGTAGTTTGAAAAGTTGCATATAATATTGTAAATCATGAGTAGTAAGTAAATGTTTACCAATATAATTTATAATAAATTAAGAGGAGAGAGGAAATAAAAAAAAAGAGAAAGATTTTTAATTTGTTAAAATTTAAGTTTTATAATTTTTTTAGTTTTTATTTATTTATTCTCACAGCTCAATTTATAGGTTTGTTTGGTTATGAATTGAGTTTTATTATTTTTAAAAAATTATTTTTACTTGTTATCTCAGATTTTATTATCTCGGATCTTTAATTTAAATTATTTTATATTATTTTTTTATAAAATTTAATTTTTTAACAATAAATTGGTTTATAGCTATGTTTTGTATTTTTATTTTTTAATTTGCTTTTTATGATATAATTTTATTTTCATGATTTGGTTTAAAAATTTAACAAGTTTATTTAAATTGATTCAAATTATTTTTTTATCTATTTTTTAGATTATTTTTTTATTTTTATTTATTAAAAATTAAACTTTCTAATTTATATCCTTTTATTTTCATTATGATTAACATTTTTTTATATCTCTTGTTATAGGTTTTATAAGTTAGTTAAAGTTGATTTAAATTAATTTAATATATTATAATTTTAATATTAAAAAAATAATATTATCATCATCTCATTATTTTAAAGAGAGATTACCTAATATGCATCAAATTTTTAATTCAATGTTGATTTTTTATGTTAAAAAACCCATCAGCAAAACCTCTACATTTCATTTATACTTTTTTAAAAGAAGACGTCACGATCGAAGGAACAACGGCCAGAGATATAGTGCTATCTGTACTGGGAAGGTTGTGCAGGAATAAAGCGTGATATTTGAATTAGATAGGATGATTATGCATGTAGAAAGCATGTGGACTTTTTTAATTTATAAGACGTTGTTTTAATTAATTAGATTTTAAATTTATTTTTTTATAAATTATTAATTTAAATTTTATAATTACTAGAAATTTATGTAATTGTTAATTTTATAATTCATATAATTAATTAAAATAAACACTACTCCAACACTCATATTAATTAAAAAAAAATAAAAAAAAATATCCTCTTTCCACTTAAAATCTTGGTCTTCAAATATCGTTTGATAATATAGTAATGTTTTAAATTTTGTTCAGCTATAATTTTTTTTGATTAGTTAAATAATTTTTTATATTAAAATAGTTTTTGGTCTTATAATAATATTATTTTTAAAAAATTTTTAACATTAAAATAGTTTTTGGTCTTATAATAATAATTATTTTTAAAATTTTTTTAATTTAAAAATATATTAAAATATATTTTTATTTTTTAAAATATATTTTTAAAATCAATAAATTAAAATAATAAAAAAACAACAAAAAAATCAAGTAAAAAAAAATCATTGTTTTGACAAACACGTGGCTGGTCTTGTCTAAAATTTTAATTTTATTTTTTTTTAAATTATGTTTTAGTAATTTTAGATTGTTGATGTTAAAAATAAATTAAAAAAATATTAATTTAATTTATTTTTAAATAAAAAATATTTTTAAATATAATTTTTATAATATTTCCAAATATGCCCCAAAATTATTTGTAGAGCTTATTTTATAATTTTTTAAAGTTTTAAAAACACCATTAAAATGGTTAAAAAGAGTCTCGAAAATGAGAGCATCTATAATGGGAGATGCTTTTTAGAAGAGCTAAATTGGTAATATGGCTTTCCGAATAGTGTAGATATAGCTTTTTCGTTGATATGCATTTCAATGGTAAGAAGCCATTTAGATCAAGTTGCTACCGTTGTGGCTACTAAAGAAGAATTGAATAATTAAGGGCGAAGAACGGAGTATTGTGGCTCTATTCTTGGTTATAATATTGTCAATCGTAATAGAAAGGAAGGTGAGTTAAGGTTATATAATTATTATTTTGCTGAAAATCTTAAATTCACTAAAAATCAATTTCAAAGAAGATTTAGGATGAATCATCGTCTTTTTCTTCGGATCACAAATGCAGTGAAAGCTCATAATCCATATTTCAAATAAAGAACAGATGCTCTTAGTGTTCTTGGTTTACCTTGCCTTCAAAAGGTAACTGCTGCTCACAGAATACTTGCATATGGTATTCCTGCAGATCTTATTGATGAATATCTTTGAATTGAAAAAGCACGGCGATAGAAAGTCTTAAAGCTTTCGTCAAAGCAATCGTAAAATTTTTTGGGGATTGATTTCT